ATGGCAGAAGTAAGTCCTTTACAAGCAATTAATTTAAATGTACATTGATTAAATTCTCCAATTCAAAGGCAGAGATTGCCAGATGGATTAAAAAAAAAAAAAGATCCAACGATATGCTGTCCACGAGAGACTCAGCATAAATCCAAAAATGTAAATAGGTTGAAAGTAAGAGGAATGGACAAATATTCCATTCAAATAGTTAAGCAATAGAGAGGTAGGTGGCTATGCTAGTATGAAACAATACAGACTTGAAGTCAAAAATTTTTACAAGGGACAAAAAAAGACATTATATATTGATAAAACGGTCAGTGCATCAAAAGATATAATAATTACAAACAAAAACACACCAAATAGAGCCCCAAAAGAAGTGAAGCAAACACTACAAAATGTTGCAGGCAAGAAAAAAAAAAAAAAAAAGTAAAAAAACAGTTCTACAATAGTGGGAGTCTTCAGTACTTCACATTCAATAATGGATGGAACATCTACACAGAAGATCAAAAAGGAAATAGGACCAGAATATTATAAACTAACAATACCTAACAAACATGTCATGTATACAACACTACCCCAAAACAGCAAAATACACATTTCTTCATTTTTCCCAGTATGGTTAAGAATTTCCCAAATCGTCACATTTTAGTTTCTTATTGCTTAAGAATTCCTCCTTCAATTCAACTCTCTCCTTTCCTATTTTGTATGTGCAATAAAGAGAACCCAAGCCACAAGTTCAATAATTAGAAATCTTGGCCGGGCGCGGTGGCTCAAGACTGTAATCCCAGCACTTTGGGAGGCCTAGATGGGTGGATCACGAGGTCAGGAGATCGAGACCATCCTGGCTAACACGGTGAAACCGTCTCTACTAAAAAAAAATGCAAAAAACTAGCCGGGCGAGGTGGCGGGCGCCTATAGTCCCAGCTACTCGGGAGGCTGAGGCCGGAGAATGGCATGAACCCGGGAGGCAGAGCTTGCAGTGAGCCGAGATCCGGCCACTGCACTCCAGCCTGGGCAACAGAGTGAGACTCCGTCTCAAAAAAAAAAAAAAAAAAAAAAAAGAAATCTCTGCTACTATTCAGTTTCATTACTTGGAAGCGCTACCTTCCACAAAACACTAGAACGTGATTCAGCCAAGTTCCTTGCTACAATAAACTGTTCCTCATTTCTGAGACTAAACCATTATGGCCTTAAATGTCCATATTTCTACCAACATTTTGTTCATGATTGTTTCTTTAACATGAATACCGTTCATGACAGTATTCTTTAAAATGGAAGCCTTCTCTCCAGTGATTCTATTTTGCTTTGAGTCCTCCCCAGAATCATTTTTACATGTATATTTCTAGCACCCACCCTCAGAATTCTTCCAGCCTATATGCCCACCACCCAGTTCCAAAGCTTGAACTTGCACATTTTTAGGTATTTGTTATAGCGGCACCCCACTTCTCAGTACCAACAACTGTCTTAGTTTGCTTAGGGTGCTGTAAGAAAATGCCAAAGACTGTGAGGCTAAATACAGATACTTATTTTCTCACTATTCTAATTAAAATAGGGATTAGCAGGTTTAATTCCTGGTAAAGGCTCTCTTGGCTTCTAAATTCCCACCTTCTCCTTGTGTCCTCATGTGGCCTTTCCTTGGGGTGTGAGCACAGGGAGAGACATCTTTCCTTCCTCTTCTCGTAAGATCACCATTTGTATCAAATTAGAATCACATTCTTATATCCTCATTGCCTTATGTCCAAATACAATCACACTGCAGGTTAAGGGATGAATTCTGGCAAGTTGGGGGGTGGGGGGTGGCAGAGTGGGTTATATAACTCCAGAAATCTCAATCACAGACTCTCTGCCTCTCCCTGACATACATATGTTAGTCTTTAATATTAGTTGCTATTAAATAGAATTAGAATTCCTTCATTGGACATAGAAAATTTAATGGTGCAGGACAGCAGAAAACAGGATGAGACTGCAATATCCTATCCTATTGAATATGAGAATAAAGCTCCTATGCAGGCTAGGGAAAAGTCACGAAGAATAAAGGGGTAAATGAAAATGGAAAGAATGGTGAAATTTTATATTTTTGAGTAAGAAACTGTAGTAAAAACCAAACAGTAATACCACAACGATAATTATATTATGGTTTGGAGTAAGTGTGAAATGCCATTAAGTTCATAACAAAGTTAAATGAAAAATGTTAATATGATAAAAATATAGCTGTAATTACAAATAAGGAAAACATAATAGGATACATTTTATTCATTAATTTATCATTTGTTAATGACTTCAAAAAGTAAAAGCCAAGACACAAGGATATTTTGTTTCTCTCACTAATTTTAATTTTAATGTCTGTATACAAGGTTTAGATATTTAGTAGTTTTAATTTGTTTAAGCTGGAAGGAAAAACACACACACAGAGAAACATAGGACAAGGTCTCCTGGAGAGCTATACCCAAAAGAGGAACATCAGCACTGATGGTAACTCAGGATAAAAAGATAGAATGGGATCCAAGAGTAAATTAGCTGTGTTGTCACATGAATAGAATTTAGTTAGAAACAGAGCTACTACTCTATTTCAAAGATATGAAATAGCAAATATCCTGACAAAACTCTTGTTCTTACTGTGTAGGACATGAGACAACAACCAATTACATATCTTTTAAAACTACTTGAATAAGCAATACTTACACAAAACATTGCTCAATATATCAGATGAGAAAATGGCTTAATATTGGTAATCATTCAGACCTTTATAGAGTACATAAATTCTGGGAAAGACACCAGTTTCAAAAATTAAAATGTAATGAATGATGGTGACATAAATTTATCTGAAAATAGTAAAATTTTCTTATAAAAATCAAATAACTGGCCAGGCATGGTGGCTCACACCCGTAATCCCAGCACTTTGGGAGGCCAAGGCCGGTGGATCACGAGGTCAGGAGATACAGACTGTCTTGGCCAACATGGTGAAACTCTGTGTCTACTAAAATACAAACAATTAGCCAGGTGTGGTGGCACATGCCTGTAATCCCAGCTACTTGGCAGGCTGAGGCAGGAAAATTACTTGAACCTGGGAGGTGGAGGTTGCAGTGAGCTGAGATCACGCCACTGCACTCCAGCCTGGTGACAGAGCAAGACTCTATCTCAACAAAATTAAATAAATAAATCCAATAACCAGGCCGGGTGCAGTGGCTCATGCCTGTAATCTCAACACTTTGGGAGGCCGAGGTGGGGGTGATCACCTGAAGTCAGGAGTTTGAGACCAGACTGACCAACATGGAGAAATCTCATCTCTACTAAAAATACAAAATTAGCCAGGCATGGTGGCGCATGCCTGTAATCCCAGCTACTTGGGAGGCTGAGCAGGAGAATAGTTTGAACACGGGAGGCAGAGGTTAAGGTGAGCCAAGATCGCGCCACTGCACTCTAGCCTTGGCAACAGAGCAAAACTCTGTCTCAAAAAAAAATGAAAAGTAAAAAAAAAAAAAAAAATTCAATAACCAGTGGCTTGTGATCTCACTGACTGCATAACCAAGTCAGCTGTCCTGAGAGAGAGATGATTTTGGAGTTAAATGAGATTAGTTAAATCACAGAAGGTCTGTTGATTGTTGAAATGCCCAAACCTAATAAGGCAACTCTGAGAGAATAAAAAGAAAAATAATGGTAATAGATTAAAAAAATTTTGAAGCTGTAGTTGTAAATCCTCTTAATGTAAGTTCAGTGGTCATTTTTTCCTCCCCTTTTAAAGGTGTTTGACAAATTTAAGAATGATAATTTAAGAGAATGATAAATTTTAACAGACTTATTGGATGAGTAATTTTATCAAATATTTAAGAGAGTTCTCTTCATTTGGATCCTGGTTGTTACAGCCTGTGGGTAAAAAGACTGCTTAAAGGAAGTGGTTATATTCCAATATAACAGACATACATTATATATATACACACACACAGTATATATTATATATACATATATACTGTATATACTATATATACATATATAGTATGTGTTTATATATAGTGTTATATAGTGCATGTGTGAGTATATATAGTATACATCGCACATACACTATACACACTGTATGTATATATACACTATATATATATATAGTGTGTGTGTGTTATGGTGGAATATAACCAGTTCCTATGTATATGTTATTTTGGGGGAACATGTTGTATCAAAATAAAATAGAAATTTAAAGAGAAGTGAACAATTTGATGAAAATGGAAAGATCACACTTCTATCATTCAAAACAAAACAAAACAAGAACATTACACAAAATGAAGAGCAATAAGAATGTAAAACTGGCCGGGCGCGGTGGCTCACGCCTGTAATCCCAGCACTTTGGGAGGCCGAGGCGGGTGGATCACAAGGTCAGGAGATCGAGAGCATGGTGAAACCCCGTCTCTACTAAAAAATAGAAAAAAATTAGCCGGGCGCAGTGGCGGGCGCCTGTAGTCCCAGCTACTCGGGAGGCTGAGGTAGGAGAATGGCGTGAACCCGGGAGGCGGAGCTTGCACTTGCAGTGAGCCGAGATTGCACCACTGCACTCCAGCCTGGGCGACAGAGCGAGACTCCGTCTCAAAAAAAAAAAAAAAAAAAAAAAAGAATGTAAAACTACATTGTATCTGTCTAGGAGTTCTAACTCTCTGGAGGAAAATAAGTATAGATATCACAAGCAAAGAATTACAATGCAGAAAAGATACTGAAGTAATATTACAATTAAAAAACTGAATAGTGAAAAGAACAATAATGCAAACATCAAAGGCTATTGTAAACAAAACATGCCAGGATGAGAAACTCATGGAAAACAACTCTTTTTAACATAAAAAGGAGAAATATTTGGCAATATCTAACAAAGCTATAACTATATATCAGCTATGACTAAGCAATTCTATGTCTACATACAGAATGGCCATGAAGTCTAAAAACAGACTTAAAAGAGGGAGATACTGAATTGCCTTGATTATCCATTAAATCCATCCATAGTTTTTTCCTGTGAAAATCGGAAATAAAAAACCACTTTATACATTTATTTCAGTCAAATGATTTCTCACCAGTGTAAATTTTCGGTTGGCACGTAAGATGCCCAACAACACTGAAGGAATTTCCACATTCCTTACATTCATAGGGTTTATCACCAGTATGAATGCGCTGATGTTTGGTAAAGGATGAACTATGTCTAAAGGCCTTCCCACATGCCTTACATTCGTAGGGTTTTTCTCCAGTATGAATTCTCTGATGTTCTGTAAGGGCTGAACTATGTCTAAAGGCCTTCCTACATACCTTACATTCATAAGGTTTCTCACCACTATGAATTCTTTGATGTTGAATAAGGGCTGATGTAAGTCTAAAGAACTTTCCACACTCCTTACATTCATAAGGCTTTTGACCACTGTGAATTCTTTCATGTCGAGTAAGTTCACTACCTACTCCAAATGCTTTCTCACATTCTTTACATTTATAGGGTTTTTCACCAGTATGAATCCTCTGATGTCTAGTCAGGGATGAACTGTTTCTAAAGACCTTTCCACATGCTTTGCATTCATAGGGTTTCTTACCAGTATGAATTCTCTGATGACGAGCAAGTTCTCTACATACTCCAAAAGCCTTTCCACATTCCTTACATGCATAAGGTTTCTCACCAGTATGAATTCTCTGATGTTCAATGAGCTGTGAACTAATTCTAAAAACCTTCTCACAGTGCATACATTTGTAGGGCTTCTCACCAGTATGAATTCTCTGATGTTCGGTAAGCTGTGAATGAAATCTGAAGTCCTTGCCACATTCCATACATTTGTAAGTTTTCTCATCAGTATGGATTTTCTGATGTCGAGTAAGTTGCGCATGCACTCTAAAGGATTTCCCACAGAATGAGCATTCGAAATGTTTCTCACCATCATGAACTCTTTGAAGTGGAGTAACTTCTTCAACTCTTCCAAAAGTCCTTCTGTATTCCTTACATTTGTAGAACTTCTCATTATCAATTTTCTGGTATACATTAAGGTCTTTATAAAAACTACATGTATTCCCATATTCCATATATTTACAAGGTTTCACACCAGTATGAATATTCAGTTGTAACATATTGGAGTTATCTATCCCAAAGGTTTTCCAACATTGATTGCATGCATAGTTTTTTCCACCAGTATGTATTTTCTGATATTCAGCAAACTCTAAGTCACAACTGAAGACCTTCTCGTATTCCTTGTATTCATAGGGCTTCTCACTGTCATGAGTTCTCTGAGGTAACGTAAGAGATTCATGAGTTTTGTAAGTGGGCACATTTTCAGAGATGATTTTCATTTCACTGAAATATCCCACTTCAGGTCCTTGTACTTCAATCTTGCTTTTGCTTTGCCAGTCATTTCTGAAAATGGAACTTTCAAGGCCACGTAACTTGCTACTTTCCATTACCTCCCACTGAGAACCAGTGTTTTTAATAATGTCTTTTCCTACAGATAAATGCTTAGTCTCATTCCTGGACTCCAAATCTGAAAGAAAGGAAAAAATAATTTTCATGTACAACAAAAATAAAAGTTATGGAGAGAAGAGACAATTTAAGAATAATTCACCATATACATGAATTGGTTTAAAAAATGTTATGAAATTTGGAGAAAGATAAAGAGAGCTCACAGAATAACAGCAGAACATAAAGATTATGAGGAATGTGATTAAGTCAGTGGATCTGAAATTTGTGTGTTGGTCATCACCTGGTAAGCTTGTTGGTTAAACAGAATCAAAATCTGTAGATGTAGAACTAGTCATTAGCATCTTATAGAGATAATGCTAATGCAGATCAAAATTTGATAATCCATATATACTAACACTTTTGTGGTTTTCTTCCCCAAAAATAAACTTTACCAAGGATAATAACAAGGTACAGTTTGTAGGACCTCATTTTGCCCGGGCATGTGGGCTCATGCTTATTATCCTAGCACTTTGGGAGGGCAAGGCAGGTGGGTTACCTGAACTCAGGACTTTGAGACTAGCCTGGGCAACATGGTGAAACCCTGCCTCTACTAAAATACAAACAGCCAGGCATGATGGCACACACCTGTAGTCCCAGCTACTCAGGAGGCTGAGGCACAAGAATTGCTTGAACCCAGGAAGTGGAGGCTGCAGGGAGCTGAGATCGCACCACTGCGTAGACTCCAGCCTGGGCAATGGAGCGAGAGTCCATCTCAAAAAAAAAAAAAACAAAACACCTCATTTTAACTCCATTCTGCTAATCATTTTTCACCTCCTAGATCAAAACAAATATCCTATCATTTAGAGCTATCCACAGGACATTTCATTTCACATAAATGGTCTCTTTGTATGCCAGCTTCTTTTCTTTGTTAAGGTCTCAAGATACCTGCCCTCAGAAAGGGCATATTAGTTGACCCTAAATAACTTCATTTCCATTTCTAATCCCGTATCTAGTGCCTTACCTTTATATATATGTTTTTTCAGTTGTGTATTCAGTACTTTTACACCATTTACTTCCTTATTCCTTAAATTCCACAAGGACAAATATAATAAATTTTCATGTGCCAATGTACAACAAGCCCTAAGGGCATGGTATATGATAATTAATACAGGAAAAGTAAATCACTGAATGAATCCAAATAAAAATAAAAGTATACATACAAAGATAAGTCACTAGAAAACAACTATCAAAATAATTATGTAGCTATAAGAATAATGCCAGTTATCAATGCCTCCCAACCCTCACATTGTATTAGTGATTACATACGTATATTTATAATACAGTAAGATACATAAATACGGTAAACATTCATATGTATTTATTTTCCAACTGCTTCTCCACTTACACATATTGTCCCACCATTATTGCTTATTCCCTCGTATGCAGAGCCATGACTGACATGTGGAATGAAGAAATACAATCAAGATGGGATGTGTTACTTACTTCTCTTCAACAGCATATTTACCTTTACTCTGCTGTCCTTCTAAAACCTACCCCTATTTTTTCTTTTATGTTCTTTTACAGATATTCCTTTCCATTTTCTTATACCAAAAGTCAACTAATGCTATACTTCCCCAAAATATAATATTTCAGATATTAAAATAATATCTGAATATAATTGTAACTACTGTTAGACTTACACAATTCTGAGCAAAGGCTTATGAGTGAAAAAGAGAATATGCTAACAAAATAATATGAAGAAGGTGGTCTACGTAGACAAGACTGTAAGGCACTTTGTAACAAAGGATTTTATGGACATCATCTGGAGGTGAACAATGAGAAAAGAGAATGCCTGAGGAAAACTCAGAGTGACACATAAACACTGCATGATAAAGGGCAAGGATAATTTTCTGTGACTTAATTATGTATAAGATGAAATAATGCAGGCATCAATATCTGACAAAAACATTAAAACCAGATTTGAGTGCCAGTATCAATAAATCAAAAGTACTTTCAGTTAGAAATAAAGAAGCTCTCTACTAGGCTGGGTGCAGTGGCTGTCACACCTGTAATCCCGGCATTTTGGGAGCCCAAGGTGGGTGTACAACTTGAGGTCAGGAGTTCAAGAACAGCCTGGCCAACATGGTGAAACCCGTCTCTACTAAAAATACAAAAAAACTTAGCTGGGCATGGTGGCACATGCCTGTAATCCCAGCTACTTGGGAGGCTGAGGCAGAAGAATCACTCAAACCTGGGAGATGGAGGTTGCAGTGAGCTGAGATTGCACCACCGCACTCCAAGCTGGGCAACAGAGTGAGACTATGTCTTATTAAAAAAAAAAAAAAAGAAAGAAAGAAAAGGAAAAGAAGCTCTCTGCTAAATAACTGTTGGGTCAATGTGGAAATGTAATTGAAATCACAAAGTTTGTAGTGAACCATGATGTTGAAAACATTTTTTTTTTTTTTTTTTTTTTGAGATGGAGTCTCGCTCTGTCGCCCAGGCTGGAGTGCAGTGGCCGGATCTCAGCTCACTGTAAGCTCCGCCTCCCGGGTTCACGCCATTCTCCTGCCTCAGCCTCCCGAGTAGCTGGGACTACAGGCGCCCGCCACCTCGCCCGGCTAGTTTTTTTTTTTTTTTGTATTTTTTAGTAGAGACGGGGTTTCACCGTGTTCGCCAGGATGGTCTCGATCTCCTGACCTCGTGATCCGCCCGTCTCGGCCTCCCAAAGTGCTGGGATTACAGGCTTGAGCCACCGCGCCCGGCCAGAAAACATTTCTAACTGATATCTATGGAACATAAATATATTTGTCTCATAAAAAGTAAAAACTTACATGCTTGTTTTTTTTTTTAAAAAAAGAGTAAAAATAACCAATGTATATATCCCACTAAAGACAAAAGAACAGTGACCTAAAGAAAAGGTGAGAAATTAGCAAACAATCACAATGTGATGAAAACATACACAAAATGTTATAAGACTCCTATGCTAATAAAGCTGAAAATGTAGTCTAATAAATTAATTTCTTGGTAAAGAGATATTTAAAACCAACCCAAAAAGCAATAATAGTTGGAAAAAAATTCCTGGAATGAGACAAAATTTTCAAATACTCACTCCATGAAACAGAAAAACAATAACCATGCCTTATTGTCCTTGTTATTGAAATAAACCAGATGATAAACCAGGAATCCTAGAACAAAGGCCTGGAACATGATCTAGACCAGGGGAGGTATGAGATGTACCCTGTAATGTTTTGCCAGAAAGAAGAAAGTTTTACAACAGTGGGTCACATCAAAGGGACACAAAAATAGCTTGAGGGAGCTAAAGTGCCACCATTTTGACAATACAAGAGTCAAATGAGGGGAAAAAAGTTTATGTACTGCAACATGCTAAACTAAACAAAACCAGAAAAATGCACTCATATCCAATTCAATGGGATTACAGGTATGGAATGAGCCTTGGATAAGCTTTTGACAAAAAGTGAGAATAAATTCAAAGGTTAAAGGATAAAGCCAACGCGCACAGAAGTCACCATAAGAAACATGGTATCAGTATATCAAAATTTCATCCAATATTCATACTGCTGGACATCAAAAATCAGACTCTGGTGGGCTAATGTATACTGAACCAATAACATCAGTAAACATAATGAGACTTAATAGAAGGTATGAAAAATTCTAGTGCACCATTTGAGGTGGCTTCTTATTTACAGTAATATAAAAGATGTAACAATAATAAAAACAGCCTCTTCGCCTTTCCCATTAGAATTACAAAAGTTTACCAAAGAATATGACAGCAACTAACATAAAAGGAATGACAAATTGAAACACACTGATTCCAATGAGGACTTCCAAATGCAAAAACATTAGGTGAATCACTGAAAAGAAACTGTATAAAATGCCAAATTAAGACCAGAGAGATTGGTTTCTGACCACACTGTCTAAATTAGCTCTTTCTCCATCATTCTCTACCCCTTTATTCTTACACATATTGTTATATATATTCTCTACTTGTTTACTTGTTTATTATACATATCAAGAAATTCTATGTCAGTTCCATGACAGCAGGGTCTGTATTGGTCTTGTTCACCATTGTACTGATATCTGTCTCAATGTAGACACTAAATATTGAGGATATGAATGAGCATTTGTTTATGGTCAATATACACATACATAAGTCTAAATACAAGAGGAACTGGAAAACGGTGGCATTGAAGAAGATCTTAATTTCCTTCTCCAAGTGCCAGGCTTTAAAAAAAAAAAAAAAAAAAACCAGTCTGGGCTGGGCACGGTGGCTCACACCTGTAATCCCAGCACTTTGGGAGGCCGAGGTGGGTGGATCACGAGGTCAGGAGATCGAGACCATCTTGGCTAACATGGTGAAACCCCGTCTCTACTAAAAATACAAAAAATTAGCTGGGCGTGGTGGCGGGCACCTGTAGGCCCAGCTACTCGGGAGGCTGAGACAGGAAATGGCGTGAACCTGGGAGACGGGGCTTGCAGTGAGCCGAGATTGTGCCACTGCACTCCAGCCTTGGCAACAGAGCGAAACTCTGTCTCAAAAATAAAAAATAAAAATAAAAAAATAAAAACCCACAAGCTTTTGAAGGAATTTTCCCAACAGAATCCCAGGGGCTCATCTCCTGGATCAGATGGGCTTTGTGCTTTGGCAATGACTTTCTATCCCTCAGTGGCCATCACTCACCTGGCCCTGTCTTCCTTCACATCCCATAAACTCTATAGAGCAACTTCCCTTCCTCCAGTAAGGTGATCCCAATTGGATCAGAAATGGAAGACTGCTTACAACAAAGAAATGTAACAATGTATTTCTTTTTATTATAACCAATTTTTAAAATACAGCTTTGAGAATTGGTTAAAGTTTTACTAAATAAAATCAAAATCATATGAAAAAGACAGAAAAGAGAAATGTGAGGGAACTGGAAAAACATTCACCTTAGAGTAACCACAGAATTATCACGTATAAAGAGACTAGACAGGTAAGGAAAGGTCTTATGTTATTTAAACCCATACTAATTCTTTGTCTGGAGAAGCAGTGTAACAGTTAAAAATACTGTCTTTGGTGCCAGATTGCCTGGGTAGAAAGCCTTCCTCTGTAATTAAGTGGCTGTGGAGCCTTTGCAGAAGCGCCTAAATACTCTCTGTTGTAAGCAACCTCTTCTGTACAACAATAATACAAACAGCACTTATGTCACAGAGTTATTGTAAGAATTAAACGAGTCATTTTTTTTTGAGATGGAGTCTTGCCCTGTTGCCCAGGCTGGAGTGCAGTGGCATGATTTCAGCTCACTGCAACCTCCGCCTCCCGAGTTCAAGCAGGTTCAAGCAATTCTCCCGCCTCAGCCACCTGAGTAGCTGGGACTACAGGCACACGCCACCATGCCTGGCTAATTTTTTTGTATTTTAGTAGAGATGGGGTTTCACTGTGTTGCCCAGGCTGGTCGCGAACTCCCGAGCTCAGGCAATCTGCCCGCCTCAGCCTCCCAAAGTGCTGGGATTACAGGCATGAGCTACCACGCCTAGCCACGAGCCAATTATTTAAAGTGCTTAGGATGGGGCCAAGTAGAAGGCAAGAACTACAGAAGCTGAGAGGAAAGTAACTAACTTTCTGAGTTATTAAAAGGTCCTTGGTGGAATACTAATTTAATGTTAAATGCAACGTTCTTTAGCTATAAAGCAGGTGGGAGGAAATGAATATGAACTGTTTATCAATCCTTCAATATATAAATTGTAGAGATTCTTTTAACAATCATAACAAATCAGGACACACGGTATCTTAAAAGTTCTCCCAGAAGGTGGGTAAGAATATAAAGTATTTATAGCAATTCCGACCTCAAACACAATGTACAGGTTGCACATGCCTAATCTAAAATCTGAAATTCAATTACAAAATCCAAAACTTTCTCAGCACTGACATGATGCCACAAGTGAAATATACATAACTACTTAACACAAACTTGGTTTCATGCACAAAACTATTAAAGACATGCTATAAAATTGCCTTCAGGCTATGTGTATAAAGTGTACATGAAACATAAATGAATTCTGTGTTTCAATTTGGGTTCCATCCCTAAGATGTCTCATTATGTATATGCAGATATTCCAAAATCTGAAAAAAATCCCAAATCCAAAACACTCTCATCCCAAGTATTTTGGATAAGGGATACACAACCTGTAATGTCTCAACGATATGCTATATGTGTTCCATAAGTCAAATCCAGCTCCTTGGTATCAAGGAAGGTAGAAATTATATGAAGGGCCTGAGAAGGTAAGAATATCATGAAGAATGTTAAAGACTAATAGAGATGTCATTTGCAACACAACAACACTGAAAGCATGCCTTTGGAATCAGAAGTTCACCTAGTTTCTTAAAACATAGCCTTGAGGCCGTCGCAGTGGCTCATGCCTGTAATCCCAGCACTTTGGGAGGCTGAGGCAGGTGAATTACGAGGTCAGGAGTTCAAGACCAGCCTGGCCAGTGTGGTGAAACCCTGTCTCTACTAAAAATACAAAAACTTAGCTGGGTGTAGTGGCGGACGCCTGTAATCCCAGCTACTCGGGAGGCTGAGGCAGGAGAATTGCTTGAACCTGGGAGGCAGAGGTTGCAGTGAGCCAAGATCGCGCCACTGCACTCCAGCCTGGGTGACAAAGTGAGACTCCATCTCAAAAACAAAACAAAACAAAATGAAAAACAAAATATAGCCTTGAGTTCACTGAATATCAGCTGATAGTCTAGAGAGTATATTCTAAGTTATTGGAGGCAGACAAATTTACCCAGTGAGAGTAAGTTGCTGTAGTTCTCCATCATCACATCCCAGTACAAGTTCCTCTGAGCAGAATTCAGATATTCCCATTCCTCCTGAGAGAAGTTGATGACCACATCCCTGAGTGTCACCAGTTCCTGAAACAACAAACCCGTACATTACAGGTAAAATTTAAGGAAATATTTTTGAGAAAAAGGTAAGATGAATTGCCTTATTGCAAGGGGATTGGACAGTAAACAAGGAGGCCAGGAGAAGACTGTGACATGGGAAGTAAGGAAATTAGTGCTTCCAAACCAGACTATCATCTTTAAAGACTCCCTTTGATCCACTGAAATCTTTCTGCATACTTATGGGATCTCTTATTTAGCCAACCATGTCTGGAAATTAATAACCAGTTTACAAATTAAAAGAAGTACTATATACAAGCACATTTCATGCTATGTGCCTGCCTCATGAATCATCAATAAATGTAAGTTTCTATACCCTCATTTCCCTGTACAAGAGAAAAATATCTAACTTTGAAAATGGGGTGTGAACAAAATTAAAGATTTCTTGTAGCTCCAAGTTCATTACTATGTGACATATTATGTCACATTATATAATACGATTTATTACTTCTAGCAACAAAGTTTTTAGTAAGTGTTTTTTAGTGGTTACAGAGTAGTTTTCTTGCTAAAAATATAACAGCCTTAATTCCACTCCAATGTTTAGGTTAGACAAGGTCTTCTCCAATTCTGTGCCTACAATCATCATCATTTTATATGACCTGAGGCCATTCAACATCAAATCCAATCTATCTGGAAACTCAAGTCTGTGGAGAAGGTCAGAGTATGCCCAATTATCAAACAGATCCATCTGCTTTTTCCCTATCCAAGAATATGACAAGGTAAAGTACAGGGATTCCATTTCTGCTTTATATCTGCTCTTGACAAAGGATTGAACACACAGGAGTGTTGAACATTCTTTGGAGAATAGAGAGGCACACAGGAGGGACACTATGCTGTTAGACTCCAGCCCTTACTAGAAAGCGAAAAAGTATGGGGTTGTGGTGCAGGTTCTTTGACAGAGGTGTGTGGTAGGAAGAATCAGAAAAAAGAAATATCACAAAGAAAAGAGAAATAGTAACTTACATGGTCCATGGTTAGAACTGTAAAGAACTGGTCAGGGAATTCCACTTCTGGCATGACAGCATGAGGAGCTCCATGGACACGATCCCCAATGAAACTGTAAAAATTATTTTTCAAAAAAGAACCACAATTTAAAGTCTCTGGAAATGGTGCTAGGAATGTACGGCAAATGAAGAAACATTAGTTTACGAAAATCTCCAAAAACATGTTAAGAACTCTGAGAGTCTGGACTATGTGAACCAAACCTGAGCCCTCCATTATCCATTCTGTCTCGGTGAGAAAGACTCCACTCCAGCTAGGACAGCCAAGGGCATGGGGCTTCTTCGCCACTTCTCAACCCTTGCCCCAGTCAGAGAGCTATCTTCCTAGGTGGGGTAAGACATCATCACTTTTCACTCTGCCCCAGTTACCTACCTGTTGCACAGCTGAAGAATGAAGACTCCCTTCCTCTGCCTCGCCCCAAAACATGAAATGTAGGCTTTAACTTGGATGTGGTACTGCTGAGCACACTGAGGTTCCAATTGCTGTGCCCTGGCTCCTGGGGCAGGTGTTCCATGCCCAAACAGGCAAGCCAGGGACACCTGGCTGCCGCCCCATCTGCCATCTACCAAGCACTCAGCTCCTAAAGCAGGGGAATCACTCAGAGAGATGCATGCCATTGTCCATACCTCCAGCACTAGAACAGTGGCTCTGTGATTTTGTTCAGGGGGAGAAGTAGGCCATAGAACAGAGAGTTCTGTATTGCTCCTCAAAGGAACTGAATTGACTTGCAACAGAATGTGAAGAAATTTAAACCAAAGGGCAATATCAAAAACTGAAAATTTTGGTGAAGGGCAGTTGGGAGGAGGTTGATAGATTAGAGATGTATGTTATATATAGGGTGGTTTGTTTGCCAGACAGAAACTGAGAGACCACCTGGGGAGAGACATTCTATTGTGAGAACAAATCTCAAACACTGACCTCAAGAAAGCCCCAGTTTGATTACATTAGCCCCTGAAGCAATGTATACTCTAGGGCACTTATGAAAGCAATACTGCCGTAAGTTGCAATTGGTGGTGCTAACAGCTGGGAGTGGTCAGGGAGATGCTCAAAGACAGCCCTGTCAAAACCACTATCATCTAATGCTGTCTGTAAAAGTAGGCAAGGCGTACTCCCAATGAGCAACATCAGAGATTTTACACCATGGTGAGAATAGACTTCACTAAAACAATCCAGAGTCCATTCTCATGCTACTATAAGGATACACCCAAGACTAGGTAATTTACAAAGGAAAGAGGCTTAATTGACTCAGTTCTGTATGGCTGGGGAGGCCTCAGGAAACTTACAATCATGGCAGAAGGCACCTCTTCACAGGGTGGTAGGAGACAGAATGAGAGCCGAGCTGAGGGGGAAGCCCCTTATAAAACCATTCAATCTTATGAGAACTCACTATCACAAGAACAGTATGGGGGAAACCACCCCCATGATTCAATCATTTCCTCCTGGTCCTGTTCTTGACATGTGGGGATTATTACAATTCAAGATGAGTTTCGGATGGAGATACAGAGCCAAACTATATCACCGTCACTAAGCAAGTAAATAAGCAAGTACCAATAACAAGCCCTGAGGCAGACGGTGTGGACAAAAGTACTGGAGTTCCAACAACTGTCTATAAAATCCACTTTCCACAAACAAGAGACAGGCAAAGAAACAGGAAAGTATGATTCACACACTGGAAAAGAAGCCCACAACAGAAACTGCTTGTGAGAGCAACCAGATTTAACAAGCAAAGACTTCAAATTATAAACAAAGACTTCAAATTATAAACAGGCAAAGACTCCAAATTATACATTATAATATATATTCAAACAGACAAAGGAAACCATAGTTAAAGAAGTAAATGTAGGTATGATAATAATGTTGCATCAAAAGGAGAATATCAACAAAGAGATACAAATTATTAATAATAAACATGGAAATTCTGAAGTTACAAAGTATAATAACTGAAATGAAATTTTCACTAGAAGGACTCAACAGTAGATATGAACTGGCAGAAGTATTAGCAAAGTTGAAGACAGATTAATAGCAATGGTGTAATCTGATGAACAGAGAGAAAACAAGACAAATTACATCTCAGAGAAATGTGGGACCCCATTAAGCACACTGCTATAAACAGGAGTACCAGAAGAGAGATGAGAGAGAGAAAAAAAAGGCATTTAAAATTTACAAAGCAATAATGAATTTTAAATTCCCAAATTTATTGAAAAACATTAAACTGCACATCCAGGAAGCTCAACAAACACCAAGCAGGATAAATGCATAGAGATCCAAACATAGATGCATCATTATAAAAGCACTGAAATCCAAAGAAAGAAATGGAGAAAATCTTGAAAGCAGTAAAAGGAAACTGCAGACTAGAAGTGAAACTAATACAGAAGTATTAACTGCTGATCTCTCATCAGAAAAAAATGAAGGCCAGAAGGCAGTGGGATGATACATACAAAGTACTCACATACACAAAATCCTTCAACCCAGAATCCTAAATCCATCAACATGCAAAAAAATAAAGTGAACCCCCACCTCACACCACTTACAAAAATTAACTCAAAATGGATTAAAGACTTAAATATAAGGCCTGAAACTCTAAAAATCCTAGAAGAAAACATAGTGAAGTTCTTGACATTGGTCTTGCAATGATTTTTTAAAATATAACACCAAGGCTGAGGCAGGAGAATGGCGTAAACCTGGGAGGCGGAGCTTGCAGTGAGCTGAGATCCGGCCACTGCACTCCAGCCTGGGCGACACAGCAAGACTCTGTCTCAAAAAAAAAAATATATATATATAACACCAAAAGCACCCCGAAACAAAAGCAAAAACAAAGAAATCAAATCAAATTAAAAAGCTTCTATAAAATAAAGGAAACAATTTAAAAAGTGAAATGACATTTTACAGAGTGGGAGAAAATATGTGCAAATTATATATCTGACAAGGGGTTAATATCTAAATATATAAGAAATTCATTCAACTCAATAGCAAAAAAAAAAAAAAAAAATCCAACTAAAAAATGAGCAAAGAACCTGAGAGGCATTTTTCCAAAGAAGATATACAAATAGTCAACGGGTATATAAAAAGGTGCTCAATATCACTAAACATCAGGGAAATGCAAATCAAACCACAATGAAATATCACCTCACACCTAACAGGACTGCTATTATCAAAAAGACAAGAAAGAAAAAAAATGTTGACAAGGATATGGAAAAAAGGGAAGCCTTGTACACTGTTGGGGATGTAAACTGGTATCGTCCTTCTGAAAAAGAGTATGGAGGTTCCTCAAAAACTTAAAAATAGGACATTCATACAATCCAGCAATCCTGCTTCTGGCTATACGGCCAAAAGAAATGAAGTCAGTAACTTTTTTCCACCTGCACCGAGACGGAGTCTTGCTCTTTCGCCCATGGTGGAGTGCACTGCTGCAATCTCGGTTCATTGCAACCTCTGCCTCTCGGGTTCTAGCAATTCTCCCGTCTCAACCTCCTGAGTGGCTGGGATTACAGGTGTGTGGCACCATGCCCGGCTAAATTTTGTATTTTTAGTAGAGATGGGGTTTCACCATATTGGTCAGGCTGGTCTCGAACTCCTGAGCTCGTGATCCACCTACCTCAGCCTCCCAAAGAGCTGGAATTACAGGTGTGAGCCATCATGCATGGTCAAAGTCAGTAACTTGAAGACATATTTGCAGTCCTTGTTCATGGCAGCATTATTCACAATAACCAAGGTATGGAAACCTAAGTGTCCATCAATGGGTGGACAGATAAAGTGTGCTTGTATGTGCGCGTATACACATAAGTATGTGTCAATTATGTATCAGTAAAACAAAGGGGGGTGGTTATCCTTATGTAGCAAACCTATATTTCAAAACTTAAGACCATTTCAAAACTTAAGATGAAAAGACATTTCCAGATAAAAACTGAATTTACTGCTAGCTGACTGACCTTAAAAAGTACTCAAGGAAGTTCTTTAGGCTGGTGATCCCAGGCAGTAATACAAATCCATACAAAAAAACAAAGAGAAACGGCCAGGCGTGGTGGCTCACACCTGTAATCCCAGCACTTTGAGAGGCTGAGGTGGGAGGATCACCTGAGGTTGCGAGTTAGAGACCAGCCTGATCAACATGGAAAAACCTGGTCTTTACTAAAAATAAAAAATTGGCCAGGTGTGGTGACACATGCCTGTAATCCCATTTACTTGGGAGGCTGAGGCAGGGGAATCACTTGAACCCAGGAGGCAGAGGTTAAGGTGAGCCAAGATGGCGCCATGGCACTCCAGCCTGGGCAACAAGAGCGAAACTCTGTCTCAAAAAACAAAAAAAGGAGAAGCAAGGTAATTTTATGTAATTGTAAATGACAGTATGCATATATATCCCTTCTCCTCTTAACTGCTAGACAAATTTTATGAAACAATGTGTATAATATGTATTATTGGGCCCATAACATACAGAAATGTAATATATTTGCTAATAATAACACAAAGAAGGCAGGGGAAAGCAAAGTTGTACTGGGCTAAGGAAATGAATCCAGATGGTAACTCCAATCCGGATTATCTGGACCTCATGAGGAGAACCCAAAGTGAGAAATCAGACTGACAAAATAAAAATTATAAATGTATAAAAGTTCTCCTTTCTTCTCATTTTTAAAAATAACATAGATTTATTTAACGTAAAAATTACGATTGGTTGAGTTTGAAACATCTGTAGTGTAATGTGAAGACCAATATTACTACAAAAGATGAAAGGAAATAGAGTTATATAGGAGCAACATTTCTCTATCTCACTTGAATTAAGCCAATATAAATCAGAAGCTGTTTCTGAAGTAAGATATTTGCCAGAATAAATCTCGAAGCAGCAAAGTGTTCAGGGTGCTGCTCGGCTTCTCTTAACTAGAGTAAAATGTGAGAAGAAACAATACAAAGGTGGGATTTATAACACGGAAGCAAAACAGAGAGATTTGAAAATTCTCAGCCTGAGCATGTAAATCAAAAGGTATTTAGGAAAGTAAACCAAGGGTGTGACCAAGTGACTTTTTGATAAGAGTGTGGCTAGAAAGAAGCCAGGTGCTTTTC